CATCTACCTATGCCCACACCCTACTCCAGGTGCCCGCCATCAGGCATGCATTCAGGACCACAAGGATCCATCATCTATCCTGATGACGGGAGGGCAGAAAAGCCTGACATTTTTTCCTTACCCTACAATTTTCTTCCTATTATTTGATTTTTAATTAAAGAAACAATACATAAGGGAACTTAAAAGAAAATGTACAACAAAGGTAATCTAATGGAAATACTACTTTGTTAAACTTTCCAATTGAGGTGGGACTTAGGCTAAGTTAGAACAAAGTCAGCATTTAATTGTGTTACTGTGAAATCTGATGATTCTTCCCATGAAACAGTCCTTAAGAGACAATCAGCTTTCTTTTCACAGCTGAGGTCTCTAAGGCTAAAGGAGACAGTGACTTACTCCTGCTTATATCCAAGGTGCTCCTTTCACAGCATTTCTCACTTCACTCATTGGAATAGGCTCTAAATTTCCATTTTTACTTGTTTCCCTTTTTGAAGAAATGCATGGTTTCCTGTCACATGCACTGACAGTTATAATCTATGAAAATACTGGCTGTGTCTTCTCTGGCATGTCCTAACCACCCTGGAGGCCTGTGTGGGTGTCACTGTTTCCAATTTGTCATGGCTCCCCTGCTTCACCACTTGGCACCTAGCTCCACACAATCTCACCCCGCTTATCTCAACACACTACTGCATCTGAACATCTCACAACAGCCTCCTCCTAGCCATACAGCTGCCTGGTCTGCTGTCCCAGGATTTACCTCTGTCCCTAAAGACTGGCAGGGAAGGGAGTGAGGGAGAGAAGCTTCCCAGAGAATGTCCAGATACTGACCTTCACCTGGGTTCAGCCACTCTGCCTCCCTGGATTTCGGACTACCTTTTTTTAGAATCTTTCCCAATGGAAAGCTACGCAAAGTTGATCAGATTCATGCCTTCTAAAATATCCTCAAAAGACTTCTCTCTTATTAGGCTTAATTTGGGCTTAATGCCACTTACAGATAATCATTGGGTGCTGGAGTCTTTACCTACATTACTTTTAATGATTATGAAAACCTAATGAGCTAGGTAATACTAATATACCCATTTTATGGATATACACACTGAGATACAGGGAATTTACAATACCAAGACGCACAGTAAGTGATGTCCTCGCCAAGCAACATGCCCAAGATGGCCCTTTGAAGGACACACAGTTGTTCACAATTGTTAATATGTATCCAAGTTACCTCCTGTGCTTATTAAAAGTAAACCCCACTATGGACTACAGTGGTGGACTATGGCTATCAGAGAGCTAAGGTAACCTGAAGGGGGGGGTCCTCTACTTCTAAAATACAATGATGTAAGCCAATGTTAAATCAATTTAAAAAAAAAGTATAAGAAAATAAATAGTAAAAGTGCATCCCACAGAGTCCACACCCCATATTCCCACTCCATGGGTGTTCCGGGGGGTCTGCTTTCAGAAAGGCCCCCTAGGGGATTCTGGATTCCCAACAGTGGTTCAGGAGCAGGAAAGCAGCAGGTGACTGTTCCTGCCCAGCTCAGCACAAGCTCCAACAAAGCACAGAGATAAGACAATTGCTTGGCATCTGTCGGCCTAGGGTGCAATACTTGCAGTGCACAGGATTTGTGTTCTCAGAGTATGTACACCTCATTTTCTACACGTGAAATGGGAACAATATCCTTATCAAATACTCCAACCACTTGGAGTATTAAATTTTGTCACTTCATGCTTCACATAAATGAGTTTTGCCAAATTGTTCAACCCAAATATTTTCATTATCAAAAATCTGTCTTCAAACTACTCATAATATCAGCCTATTCATTCCCAAGTGTCTGCTATATGCTGTGAGCTAGCAGTGCAATAGTGGACATATATGACACTATTCCTGCTCTTAGAAAAGTTACTCACAAGTACACAAGATGTGCTTATATAAGATTTAACAACTGAGCTGGGGGATTTCACAATGCATTGTTAAAGGGGGAAAGTCAGATACAGAAAAATGTATGAAATATGATCCTAAGTTTGAAAACAAATTTAAGATGACTAATTCCTCCAAAGTTTACATATACAATATACATACACACATTAAACATGTGACTATACAACTTCCTAAATATGTGTGTATATATATATATATATATACACAACTTCCTAAATATATGTATGTATACTTTTACTAGTGTGTGTAATTACATGCCATTTAATTATATATATATAATTAGAACATAATCATTATATATCTTACTTAATTTATATGTTGTTTTGAGAAATAAAGTAATAAAAAAAGGAAGGAGACAAGGAATGAATATAAGGAAATAAGACAGTTTTTAAAAACAAAGGGATGCCAATGATAAAGAGTCTATGTGATAGGAGTCCATTTAAATAAATTTGTATCTGTGTGTGTGAGAGATAGAGATATGCATGAGAACAGTGTTATCTTAAGGTAGTGAGACTTAAGTGAGCATAACTCTTTCTGTTTTGTTAGACTATTTTTTTATAGTCACAAATGTTATTTATAATAGTTGAAAATATTTTATGGAGGCAGAACCACATATTATTATACATCATGTATTGATGAATTTTGCCTTTTTCAAGTTATCTCTAACAGGTGTGAACTACTTTTAAGAACAAAAAAAATTGTATCATGGGCCTCCCATGGTGGTGCAGCAGTTGAGCGCTGGGCTGCGAAGCTGCCCGCGGCATCTGCAGCACCAGTTCGATCCCCGGCCTCCAGCAAGGGTCCCACATGGCGCGACAGACTTCTCCTGCCATGCCCGCTGCTCCCCTCAGCAGTGTACTTCGTCAGTCTGCCTGTTCTGCTCCCCACTCTGGCTCTGGTGAATTCTCTCACCCTCCCGCGCTTCTGACTGTACCCAGTACTTGTATAAATAAATAAATAAATCTTTTAAAAAAAAAAGTATCCTTCAAAAAGGCATTCTTAATTTAATAAAATACAGTAGAACAAAGATATTTCTCAAAAGACAACCAAAGCTGTTGCAATTACCCAAGTAAAGCTAAATGCACAATGAATTCATTTTACTAGAAGAAATTCCATTTCTATACATTTCCTTCTCAGCTTTCTTTTCCTTCTGTAGATGTTTCCAATTATGCAAATCTTGGATATGTTCAAAGAATCTAATTTTTTTAAAAACTTTACAATAAGCTCTTAGTTTTGTCTTTATAACTCATTACTATTTTCTATAGTTCAATGTTTTTAAAACTGAACTGACTGTCTTCCTTTCTGCCTCATGTTACTTCATAGCAAAAATCACCACCATCTTCCAAGTCAACCAGCCTGAAGTCTGTGAGGTGCCCTGGACTCCTTCCTCTCATTCACCGGCCTGTGCATCTGACTAGTACATCATTTCTATCCATCCGCACCCTAATGTCAGGTCTCTCCATATCACACCCCTTGTCTACAGTCGGATCCTCATCAGCCCCACTTAAACTGTAGCTATGATCTTCAGATCAGTCCATCTGTCTCCACTTTGAAATTCTGATCAAACAGGAAAATGTCTAAACTTCTTTACCTGGTAGTTGAACAGATACATGTGTCTGTCTAACTTCACTTCCTCCAAGGAGCCAAACTCCCAGAAACCTGCTGTCTGGGGGACTGTCAGGCACCTCGTGCTCAATGCCCAGGATATCACAAGCCAAGCAGTGCAAGCTCCATCCCCCTCAACCCCATGCCTAGTTCAGGGATGGTGTGTGTGGAAAGTAGGGACAGGCATTCTGTCCCAGGACATTTTTGCTAGGGTTACAGGAAAAACTATTAATTTTGGTGGGTCACAGATTCATTTAACAACCCCCTTTGTAAACTTAATCCCTTAAAACTGTGGAGGAGATCATGTTCAAACAGTGGAGAGAAATGGAGCAAGCCAACTCTTTTAGTTGTCCTATCAATGCACATTGATTTTCTTTTAGCTTAGGAATCAAATCTGATCCTCGAAAATAGCCAAGTTAGCATGATTTCTGATGACTTATACTTTATTATTGGTGTGCTTTTATTCCTCCCCCCAAAAGTAAACTATTAATTCTAACTAGTAATTTCAACTAGGGAATAGATCTTTATCTTTTTCCACTCTACAGTGTGGTATTGTCATAGCAATTGGCTATTATTTTGTTCCAACTTTCAATTAATTAAAAATATAGCTAGGAAGCACACATGTCTTCAGTGGATAATGCAACACATTTTCACAATCAAATACAACATCGCTACTGTATATTTTTAAGCACATAATAAATCTTGAGATGTCTAAGGTCAAGACCAAATTTTCATTTTTCTCAGCAATAAGATCAATCTGGGGCTCAACAGTGGGCTCACTGCCCCTTACCTACCAGACATGGGCATCTCATGACCCAGTGTCCTCGGGGTATCAGAAGGTCAAAGGCTGCTCAGGTATATTCATTTAAATCATTAAGCATATTAATATCTAACAATGATTAAGTGTTTATAAGTACTATTATTATCTCAGTTTTACAGGTCCAGAATCTATGATAGAGACAGATTTTAAAATGTGATCTTTGAAAAATAACATGTTTATGTCAAGAAAGAGTAAAATAGAGACTGTCTCTTTCAAAGTAATTCATTCTGAAAGGGAGTCTCTTGGCTCTGATTTTGAATTTCAAGACAGCATCCATACTTTATCAAGTCCCAAATTATAAGCCTAAGTCTTTTTAAATTATGTTCTATAAATTTCTTATGTTTTCTTAAAAAAAAAATCAAGTGGCTTGAGCTTAGTCAGTAAATTGAAGAGCAAGATCCCAAGATAAAACTCAATTTCCAAATAAGCAATGTAAGTCCCTCCATTATGATAATCACTTCTTTTTAACTGAGACTGAAATTTAACAATCTTTCTTAAGACCAAAAGATAGTTTACTTGTCTTTAGTAAAAAATCACAGTGCTTCATAAGTGGAGGTGAAGAGCAGTTGAGTGAATTCTAATTTCATTTAAAATTCTGCACAGAATGCAAGCACACATACATGTTCCAATTCACAGACTTACTTTCAGATTGTAGGCATCTTCCATGTCCTCCTGGGTCCAGAGCACCTCTGCCGTGACAGTTCCTTTTCCATGTAATTGCTAGATTCTCCCAGATCTTTAGTTTGGATGCTCCTTTTGACGGAAGGAATGAAACTTTTGAGTGGGAGTCTTTCTTCTCATCTCTTGAAATGCCTGTCATTTTATTACAAAAGGATGGTAGAAAAAGTCAGATTGCTCTTGAGGTCACTAAAAAATACTAACCAAAACCCCCACAAATCACATTTACTCAAACTGATTAAGGTGAAGAAATTCTTCAGATTCCTTAAGATAGATTGAAAATAATCCAAGACAAGTTACTTTGATATGTAGTTGAAAGTTACAGATACTCCTGAGTGATCTCTTGATGAACATTTATTTTTGATACCAATTTTATTGTGTTTCTGTTAAAACACATTGAAAGAAAATAATAGGCATTAGGAATTTGGTAGCTGCCTTCCTTTTTTATGTATTTATTTCACATAGCTGAGAAGAAGAAAGCAAATTTTGGTGAGACTTTGAAAATAGTTGAAGTGAAGACAGTAATATAACACTAATGTGATGGCTCTAGCAGGTGGCCCTCTGAAGAGGACAGTGGAGTCAATATTTCCTGATTCTGGACTAGTAGAGATAGCACATGAAGACTATGTGCACTATGGATCTGTAGACAAGGAAAATGTGATAGGCTAAAAGCATGATTCTGAAGTTTCCTTCTAAACCTGATGCATCCTTATAACTTTAAAAGCAACTCTAAATCTCAGCAACTTAAAAAAAATATTTTCAAAGTAAGATTTTTATTTTTTCATGAGTAAAAATCTACTGCAGTGGTAACAGACTAAGACACATAGTCCTCACTAGGGAGAAAGATGGTCCTACCCTTTCAGAAATATCTGTTGCTCTTTCTTCACAAAACAACTGTCTTAATAAATGTTTTCCAAACTGACGCTCATGACCACTGCAGCCATGCCAGTCTGCATCTGCTTATAAACGTGATGATATGAAGAATAATGAAGAGATGATGACTCCATTAAGCTGTCAGCCCAAATTGCTCTGCATGCAGACCTGTAAATTATCCATCTCTTGGCTGATAGCGGCTTATATCCAGATATTAGAGAGGGATCCAGTTAGGCAAAAAAAAAAGTCCCAGAGGGAAATTCTCCACCCTGGTCTGTGCTGCCTCCCTGCCTCGTGTATCCTCACATCCACATCATACTCCAAACCCTATCCTGTTGGAACAACAAGTTCACAATGACTGGTTTCTAAGCAGTTTCAAACAATAGGTATATGTAGTATTTCCTGCTTTGCAGGAATTTTAATATCATCACAAATAGGCACTAGCACTATGCATCTTTCTAAACCAGCAAATCAGGCAAATGCCCCCACCATGGCCAAAATCAAATGAACATTTGGTTAGGCAGAGTAAGTGTCCCCATCAGTATGATAGTCATTACGCAAAGCAGCAGACAGCTAAAGATTGAACTGGCATCTGTAAGATGGCTCATAATAAAAAAATAATATTAGCTCTTGAACATTCACTGTGCTTATCTCATATATTACAACCTCTGAATTAGGTTCAATTGTTGCCCAGCCTTACAGATAAGAAGCAGACAGAAACAGTAGTAACTGGCACAGCTAGTACCAGTGGAATCAGCATTTGAAACTAGGGCTTCTCACTCCAGAGCTAATCATAGACAGGAAATTGTCTATGAGCATGATCTAAACACACAAAAAGTTCAAGCTTCATTCATCATGCAGCTATGATGTAGACAAGAGAAAAATGTTTTCCCCAAAACGCGATGCACCTCTGAGGGTATTACACAGGCAATTTAGCCAAATTCCATTACGAAATAAAACAGACTAGAGAACCTGGAAAGCAGTTCCTCTCTCAGGAATAAGAAAAGTGCAGTAATACCCTTAGCCATCTTTTGCTGCTGTAGTGTGAAGAGGAGAGAAATGCCAATTCCAAATAATCCCACACCCAACAAATCCTGATACCTTATCTGAATTCCCTAGACTATGAATAGCTCTGCCCCTGTCTCTCCGAGTGCCTACAACATCTCTACTTTTCTGACTTTCTGACATAGCTAAAACAAACCCCATATTTACATGAAAAAGAACCTCTTTCCTATATATTTGTCAAGGATGTGCAAAGATGTAGAGATTATTAATTATTAATTCCTGAATTAATTTGCAACTGAGATGTAGTGTTTATTACAAAATATATATTAATTATGTATATTCATGATACGTAATTACTCATGTAATTTAAATAACTAAAAATGAATTAATATACAAAATAATATTGCTAATGATAATAAAGATGATGGTAAATCTGTGAAGTAAATATCTCTATACTTATATACACACAAAAAGACTATCTTTTTTACATGATGGATGGCAAATAAAGTCTATGATAACAATTAGAATACAGTTATGCCACTAATATTGTCCTTTGCACAATTTTGAATTCACTATATTTCCAAAGGCATTGTCAGATGCCAGTAAATACACAAACAATATGAAAGAAGAAAAACAAAACAAAGTGTCTTTAAAGATTACCAAGTAACAGCAAAATTCTGTATTATCAACTCTGGAGAGCTAAAAAGCAATTCTCCTGCACCATAGATGATCTAGGTTACATTTACTTAAATAACTCCTGTTGTCAGGAGACTCTTACTATCATTTATTATTTATGGCGTTCCAACAGGATTTTAAGACATTGTCCATATTTGTTGAGTCACCAATAGTAAAGGTCAGACTGATGAGATGAGACATAAAAATATTTCCTACCAGAAACAGGTAGGAGTGTGAAGTCCTTGTTCCCTGATTGTTTCCATGCTACTTTCTTGAATGACGGAGAACAAAAACACTGCTGTCCTTGATCATAGAAAGAGGGCAATGTGGCCAAAGTCAGAATATACCAAAGGAATGGGGAAAATTGCCTTCATTCATCTATTAGAATTCTAATTATAGAAATAAGAAAGGGTTGCTGCTTTCTTTAGTTCTAGAAATTAAAAAAAAAAATCTAAGAAATGAATTTGTGAAGTCAAACTAAATTTAAGAAAATAAAGAAAAGATTTGCTTTGACACTTGATAACTGGAATTTAATTGGTGCCTTTTTATAGTAAATTATGGTTTATAGTTGCTTGTTGATTTTGATTTTTACTTTATTATAATTTGTCTTTTTCCTGGTCCCTTATTTAGGTTTTCTAAATTCCTGCTATGAGGGGAGGAGGGAGTAGGATCAAAACAAGGAGGGGTGGGAATTGTATGGGGACTATAACCAAGATGAAAATGTATATATTGTGCAAAAATGAAAAATGATATAAAAAATATATAAAATTTAAAAACTAATAATAAATTAAAATAATAATTATACAACAAAATTATGTAAGTGACTTTAAAGTACTTAATTCATATTCACTTGATATTAATTTACTCAAATAATTCTCTGGTCCACTCTTCTGATAAATATAATCATAAAATCAAAGAATTGATAACTACATATTGCTGTGCACATACCAATTTTGATACTAGAGTGTGTACTACAGGTAGATTAAGAACCAGATTCTGAAGCAAAACCATATGTGTTCAAATTCTGATAGCTGTGTGATATTTGTCAAATGCCCTAACCTCTCTGTCTCAACTTCCTCATCTTTAAATCATGGATACTTACATTAGCTACCTCATGGGGTTATTGTAAAGATTAGGTTAGTTAATAAATAAATGTCGACTTCTAGAACAGAAACTTCCATGTATTTTGCAGTAATTGGCTTGCTGTTGCTATTTGAAAAATATTTTCAAAAAGATGTGATTGATTATGATACTCATTTCTGGTTTTAATAGTATTCATAAAACTAAGACTAGAGAGCAATGTTCTTAGTTTGCGATGTCAGTTAAGAATGTTTCTGATGGAAAGGCCTCCTTGGTGTGCAAGGGGTTAAGCACCGCACTCTGAAGCGGTCTGCAGTCTCTGAAGCATGAGTTCGATCCCCAGCCAGCTAGAGAGAAACCCATATGGTGAAGCAGACCTCTCCTGCCTCGCCCGCTGCTCCCCTCAGCAGTGTGTTTCAGTCAGTCTGCCTGTTCTGTTCCCCACTCTGTCTCTGGTGAATCCTCTCACCCCCCACATCTCTGGCCTGTAGCCCAGCTCTTGTATGCATAAATAAATAAATCTTTAAAAAAAGTAAAATAAAAAAGAAAGTTTCACAGAAGACTATGAATGGTGGTTCAACCTATAAAAAGATAAAGCAAATACAAAAGATAAAGCAAATACAAAACATTTTGTATTTATTTTTTAAGAATTTCAAAAGCACACAGTCTCAGAATGAGCTCAGTGAGCCAAAACATAAACAGGGACTCAGGCTCAGTCCATTTTATGTCCTGACCATGTGTGCCTGTTGGCTCTTTGTTATCACGCTGGTTGCTTATCAATAGAAGGATCACCAACACTGAAGGTTTCTAGAATAGGTATAAGAGAAGAAAATCACCAACAAGATCTGCACTCACACATTTCCTAAAGAGGATTCCTAAAGAGGATTCAAAAATCTCTTATGAGGTCAGCCGACTTCCCCTAAACAGAAGTAACCAGCTCTCCAGCATTTACAGTGAGAAGTCACAGACTGGCTTTGGTTACTTGGATAGAGAGAATCTAATCTATCAGGAATCAACCACAAATGCCACACTTCTGGTGAAACATTCCAAATGCTCTGATTAAAGCTCAGAATGAGGAAAGTCGCTAATTATTACTTGATGTTTTTATGCAGGTCCAAGCCAATGATGATAAGCAAAAATATCAAAAACAATCAAGTGGAAAAAATTTAGATTTAAAATTAAATAAAATTGAAGTTCATTTTCTCAGACTCACTTTTCAGGTGCTCAGTAGCCTCCTGGCTTGTGGTACCCTACTAGACAATACGTTTCCATCATCCCAGAAAGTTTGGTTTTAAGTTGCTGTAGTTTAGAGGAACAGTTACCAGTATCTATCAACCTTTAAAATGTGATTACTAGTTCAGTGGTCAGCCACACTACAGATAAATAATTTGTACTACTGCAATGCACAAGGGCACAAAAATGTATGCATGAAATTGCAGCATTATTAGCAGCCCTCACAAAACAGAAATATGTATCCATCAACAGAGGGGGAATTTAATAAA